TCAACAATCTAAAAAGGAAATTAAGGAAACAATTCCATTTACAATAGCATCCAAAAGAATAAAATACTTAGGAATAAGCTTAAGCAAAGAGATGAAAGACTTGTACAATGGAAACTGCAAGATGTTGCTAAAAGAAATTAAAAACATAAATAAATGGAAAGACATCTCATGTTCACAGATTGGAAGACTTAATATTGTTAAGCTGTCAATACTACTCAAAGTGATGTAAGATCTGAGACGATCTCTATCAAAATCCCAGTGATGTTTTGTGCAGAAAGAGAAAAATCTGTCCTAAAATCCATATGGAATCTCAAGAGACTCTGAATAGCCAAAACAATCTTCAAAAAGAACAAGTTGGAGGTCACATACTTCCAGATTTCAAAACTTAATAAAAAATTACAGTAATCAAAACAGTGTGGTACTGGAATACAGACAGATATACAGACCAATGGAATAGAATAGAGTCCAGAAATAAACTGTCACATATACGAGCAAATGGTTTTTGAGAAGGGTGCCAGTCAATGGGGAAAGGACAGTCTTTTCAATAAATGGTGCTGGGAGTACTGAATATTCACGTGCAAAAGAATGAAGTTGGATCCTTACCTTACACTATATACAAAATTTAACTCAAAATGGATCAAAGACCTAAACATAAGAGCTAAAACTATAAAACTCTTAGAAGAAACATAAGGCAAAAGCTTAATGACATTGGATTTAGCAATGAGTTCTTGGATACACCACCAAAAGTATAGGCAACAACAACAAAATAGATAAACTTGACTATATCAAAATTAAAAACTTAAATGCATCAAAGGAAACAATTAACAGAATGAAAAAGCAATCCACGGAATGGGAGAAAATATTTGCAAATCACATATAAGAGGTTAATATCTAGAACATACAAAGAACTCCTACAACAACAAAAACCTGGTACGAAAATAGGCAAAGGACTTGAATAGACATTTCTCCAAAGATACACAAATGGCTAATAAGCACAGAAAAAGATGCTCAACATCACTAATCATTAGGGAAATGCAAATCAAGACCACAATGAGATATTACCTCACATCCACTAGGATGGCTACCGCTATTTAAGAAAAAAAAAGAGGGGCTGGTGTGGTGGTGCAGTGGTTAAGTTCGCACATTCCACTTCTCAGTGGCCCGGGGTTCACTGGTTCGGATTCCGGGTGTGGACATGGCACTGCTTGGCAAAAGCCATGCTGTGGTAGGCATCCCACATATAATGTAGAGGAAGATGGGCATGGATGTTAGCTCAGGGCCAGTCTTCCTCAGCAAAAAGAGGAGGATTGGCAGTAGTTAGCTCAGAGCTGATCTTCCTCAAAAAAAAAAAAAAAAAGAAAGAAAGAAAGAAAGAAAAGAAAGCCAAAAATAAGTTTTGGTGAGAATGTAGAGAAATTGGAACCTTGTGCATTGTTGGTGGGAATGTAAAAGGCGCAGCCTTTTAGAAAACAGTATGTTGTTCCTCAAAAAATTAAAAATAGAATTACCATATGATTCATCAATTCCATTTCTTGGTATATACCCAAAAAAACTGAAAGTAGGGTCTTGAAGAGATATTTGTGTACCCATGTTCACAGCAACACTATTCACAATAGCCAAAAGAGGGAAGCAACCCAAAAGTCCATCAACAGATGAATGAATAAGCAAAATGTGGTATATACATACAATGAACTATTATTCAGCCTTAAAAACGAAGGAAATTCTGCAATATACTACAATATGGAAGAACCTTGAGGACATTGTGCTAAGTAAAATGAGCCAGTCACAAAAAGACAAATACTGTACGATTCCACTTATATGAGGTACTTGGAGTAGTCAGAAGCAGAGAGACAGAAAGTAAAATAGTGGTTGCCAGGGGGAGGGAGGAGTGAATGGGGAGTTATTGTTAATGAGTATAAAATCTCAGTTTTACAAGATGAAAAGAGTTATGGAGATGGGACAGTGATGATGGTTGCACAATATTATGAATGGATGTAATACCACTGAACTGTACACTTAAAAATAGTTAAGATGGTGCCAGCCCAGTGGCCTAGTGGTTAAGTTCGCGCACTCCAGTTCAGCAGCCTGGTGTTTGTGGGTTCGGATCCCAGGCGTGGACCCACACACTGCGCATCAAGCCATGCTGTGGCAGCATCCCACATGCAAAATAGAGGAGGATTGCCACAGACGTTAGCTCAGCAACAATCTTCCCCCAGCAAAAAGAAGATCGGCAACAGATGTTTGCTCAGGGCAAGTCTTCCCGACCAAAAAAAAAGTTAAGATGATAAATTTTATGTTATGTATATTTCATGAAATTTTTTATAAAAAGTAAGTATCCCCGTTCCTCCCCCTTGCCAAAAAGAGATGAAAAGTAAGAATTTTCTAAGATTTCCTAACCATTTAAACTTTCTCATGTTTATTATTTTGGTCATTCTCTTTCTGCTTCCTCTTAGAAATCAGTAGTTTCAAAAGTCATAAAGGAGATAATTAAAAAGTAATCAGTATGTGAAACCTCTGTTAACTACTTTTTTGAGTGTCCCATTGTCTCTAGCTGGGATGGTCCATAGCAGGCATTGATAGTACATAATGGTTGCTCCTTCAGAATGATAGCAACAGCTAAAACATATATTGTTCATTATGTGCCAGACACTCTTCCAAATGCTTTACATATATTAAGCTATTTAATACAAAATGAGGTAGTTATTATCAGTATCTTTTTTATAGACACAGAATTTGAGGCACTATAAAGTTAACTTGCAAAGGTCACCACCTCTATTCAAGTGGTGGATATGGCTTTTGAATATTGGCAGCCTAGATTCAGAATTCCTGGACTTAACCACTCTATCACATGGCCTCTTTCTCAGCACAGCACTACTGCCACCTACTTTCAATCAATGGAAGTAGGCACTCAAGATGAAAGCTTTAGACTTAATCCTAAAGACAAGGCATGATGATAATCATGCTTTCAGCATACTACATACTGTTTTACATAATCTGGACATATCTACCTTTCTAACATCATCTCCTTTCCACCTTGCCATTAAACTCCTATCTCGCACGGGGCAGTCCTGTGGCCAAGTGGTTAAGTTCTCGTGTTCCGCTTCGGCAGCCCAGGGCTTCGCCATGTCGAATCCTGGGCACGGACATGGCACCACTCATCAAGCCATGTTGAGGCGGCATCCCACAAGCCACAACTAGAAGAACCCATGACTAAAATATACAACTATGTACTGGGGGGATTTGAGGAGAAAAGGCAAAAAAAATCCCTCCCATGTCCCAACCCATTCTCTCTTACAGTTATACTCAACTGTCTACAGTTCCTTGAATAAAATCAAGTTATCTCCAAACTTTGCATATGCTATTCTTTTTACTCAGAATAGTCCCTCCCTCCTCCCACCATCTTCTCTGCCTAGACTTAATTGTAAAGCCTGGTCTGACAGAAACCCCCTCTCACCCGACTCCCTTTTATATTCCCAGATAACATGGTACACTACAAAATCCCTTAAACCCAGGACTATATTTGATTCATTCTTATTCACAAAGTCTGGCACATAGTTAAGTGCCCCCCAAAATATTTCTTGAACAAGTGTCTCCAAGTACACAGAGGTTTGAAACGATATTTCTGGGGTTCTTATTTCAGAATCCATTAATTAATGAGGAGTCCATTATCATGAGGTTCTGCCAGAAACTAAATTTACCATAGGAAAGTTCCAACACAGACCTACAGACTATACCTTAGATTCAGGTGGATCATGTTTTAATGGCACTTCAGTGTAATGTGACAACTATTAAGCACTGCAGTATTAAACCTATGGCTGCAATTGGTAATCAAGAAACAAATGTAACATGAAGCATTTCCCACACGTGGGGAAAATGTATAAGATTAAAGTCACAGAATTAGATAAGTATATAACAGCTTAATATCAAATCTCGAGGTTAGCTTTAATAGAAAATTCCTTTACACAGAGTACATTTTAACACAATCACAAATAATATTTATATACTCATCTCAACCACAACTGCTCAAGCCTCTGTATACTCAGTGCACTTCATATGAACCTTTTAGCTCGTTTCATTATATTATAATTATCTGTTTACATGACTCTTAGACTGCAGGCTGTTTGAAGGCAAACTGCCATTCACTTTTGTATCTCTTGGTAGCAGATTCCCAAAGGTTTGTTGAATGACTGAGGTACTATTTTTATGTCTACAAACAATCCTGCAAATAACTTTACAGAAGAAAATTAAGTTTAGAGGTTATGTAACTTGGCTGAGATCACCGAGCAAGTAGATAAATGAAATCATAATACAAATCCACCTTCTGCCTCGGCGGCCTGGGGTTCACAGGTTTGGGTCCCGGGAATGGACCTAGCACTGCTCGTGAAGCCACACTGTGGCGGTATCCCACATAAAATGGAGGAAGATGGGCACAGAAGTTAGCTCAGCAACAACCTTCCTCGAGCAAAAAGAGGAAGATTGGCAGGGCCAGCCCAGTGGCGCAGTGGTTAAGTGCGCACGTTCCGCTTCTCAGTGGCCCAGGGTTCACTGGTTCAGATCCTGGGTGCAGATGTGGCACCGCTTGGCAAGCCATGCTGTGGCAGGCGTCCCACATATAAAGTAGAGGAAGATGGGCATGGATGTTAGATGAGGGCCAGTCTTCCTCTGCCAAAAGAGGAGGATTGGCAGCAGATGTTAGCTCAGGGCTGATCTTCCTCACAAAACAAAGAATACAAATCTAGGTCTTCAGTGAACAATTTCTATGCCCCTTCCACCATACCACACATATTATCACAAGTAAGCAACCGCAAATTGCGCAAGAACTGCATCCTGTAGTAGTTGTCTGTGGTTAAAAAGCAACAACTCAACCATAAAAATGAATCACAAAAAATTACAATAGTAAGAGTCCCTAAAGATGAGCTCTGGGAACTTTACGCAAAATTAGTTTTGACTATTATAGTCTCAGCAGAACACTGCTGTAAGAACTTAAGAAAAGATGTTACCTTGTACTTCTTTATCATGATACTCCTTTAATTTTGTCCAAAGATCCTTAAAGTCATTAGATACATCTGCAGAACTAGGGCTTCCAGAACTGCTGCCAGAGACGCTCATCTTGCTTAATACACTCCACACTTCTAATTGCCTAATATCTTCTGACCTTTTCTGTTACATTATATAGGTATGAAGTTGTCTTTGGACAGTTGAAATACCTGAAACGACAGATTGCAACATAAATGAATTCTGCATTTATCTTTATGCAATTTGAAGTCAGAATGACCTCAAGCCCAGCCAGCTGTTCTCAAGTTTCCTTATTTACCTATAATCAATCACTTTGATAATTCGGCGGGGGAGTGAGAATTGAGGAAAGAAGATTATGGTGAGAAAAGTCCTGATTTCAGTTATCTGGCCTTCAGTTAAGCTAAATTTGCAGGCAAATTTTCTCCTATTCCTCCTAGAGGGAATTACCTAAATTACATTAAATTGAAAGGATTCTGATACAGAGAGGTTTCTAATCATTCATAGTCAGTATTGATTCACTATTCTAAAAGAATTTATTGCTTTTTTAACTTTTGAGTTGATATGGAGTGCAACAATACACTGAACCAAAAACTGGATAACATTCTGAAATATTCTTGACTTAATAAGCATTCATATATCGACACACATCTATATACATCCAAAGACATGTTATAAAAGAGAAAGAAAGATGAATGACATATTAACACACATAAGTATCTGAACAGCTTTCTCACAACAGGAGAAATCAGTGAGCAAACTACAGACACAGCAAAGATCTCTGAATACAGAAATATCTAATAACAAGGCAACTAGGGGAAAGCTATCTTGTGCCTCTCTCAGAGTAAAGGTGAGTAAGTTTATTATTTGTGCAGCCCTTGAAGGAAGCAACAGGCTACTAAGAAGTTCAAGTGGATTAATAAGTATTTTAGCACGTGTTCCTAAACAGAAATTATTAACTAGCTACCACTAAGAAAGTAAAATGATTAACAAGTCTACTAAACCTCACATCTCTCTCTTAGCCAATGCCTTATCGCTGCTAACAAGTGTGCGAACTGATTTCAGTGTTTCTTGCTAACCATTTCTTGGGGTCTCTGATGAAGATAGCAACGCCTTTTTTAAAGGAATCAAGATTATACGTGAAGCCACTTGGTAAACTGTAAAGCACCACAAAAATAAAAATATATTTTTATTAACTTTTTCAAAAATTGTGATTACACTTTTTTTGAAACAATCAGAGAAACCTGAACATGCACTGGGTTTTCGATAATATTAGGTAATTATTTTTAATTTTCTTGGGTATAATAATGATGTGGTCACGTTTAAAAAAAAAAGGCCCTTATCTATTAAAGAGATATATATTGAGGTGTTTACAGGAAAACCGACATGTTCTCTGGGATGTGCTTTAAAATACTCCAGCTGAAACAAAAAATGGATGTGGGGTGGGGAGATGAAACAAAAAGGGCTGAACTTTGACAACTATTGAAGCTGGGTAACGGATGGGTATATGAAGCAGTTCATAATTCTAGTGTCTCTCTCTTGTGTATGTTTATTATTTCCTTAATAAAATTTTCAAAAGTGGGATTAGGTACATTGCATCACTACAGCTTTATTTCCAAAGAGGCTTGTATCCTACTATTTAACTTTAAGAGATTAATCAACAGGCCTACATTATTGTCAATAAAACCACCATTTATTAAGTGTGCTCTACCTACCAGGGATCAGCTTTTTGTAATCATTTTCTTAATCTTCAGAAAAACTCTATAAAACAGCTACTATTATTAATTTCATTTTAGAGTTGGAGAAACAGGCTGAAGAGATTAACACTGCTAGGACCGGCTATGTCACTGCTGGAACTCAAGTTGCAATGCCAACTAACTACAAAAACTTTTAAGTAGCTCCCCCCAAAATTAGCTATTTCTATTAAGTAAATACTTTAAAATAAACTTTTAATTACTTGAAAAAATAATGTAAAATTGCATAGTATTAAACAGTTTAAAACCAACAGTGTAAAATAAGCGTCAAGAAATGTATCTATATTCGGAGATTGCATAAAAAGTTGTGTTTTCCCACATGAAACAGTTTATTAACATTAAACTTGCAAATTCTGTCTTATAAATCCCTGTCCAACCTATCTGCACGCCCGGCACTTTCTGTTGGCTTGTGTCTTGGCAGAGAACCGTTATTCGCTGCACGACACTGAGCTTTAATTTCTCAGCGTGCACCTTGCCTGCCAGGTGGCATTCTGGGCTCAAAGTGCTGCAGTAGTGTCACGCATTTCTGCGCCTCCGGTAGCAGTGCAAACATCACACTGAAGGTGCTCGCAAAAGCCTTCTCTCCTGTCACATCACGCGCCTTGTCATACAGGGAAGGCAAGAGCCGCGCCTCGAGTCACTCAGGGGCCCTAAACTGTGCAGGGAATTAGAGCAGGCCCGCTACGAGCAAGGCAGCAGGCCAGAGACCCCTCTCAGGACCTTCGGCCACCCGCGGGCTCGGCGGCCGCACTCTCCCGCACGCTCCCAAGGCGAGCAGCACGGCGGCGCATGCGCGGGGGGCGCGGCGCGGGAGGCAGGTCCTCAGCCCGCGCGGGAGACGAGGAGCAGCGCGCGGCCCGGAGCGCGCGCTCGCCCTCCCTGCCGTCCGCCTGCAGCCGCGTCTGGCCCGGCCCCAGCCTACCTCCTCAGACTCAGCCCCAGAACCGCACGCCACACCACCCGGGGGCCCGACGCTGCCGGTCAGCGCGCAGCTCCAGACCGGAAGCTGCCGTCACGACCGGGCGCTCAGGGTCGGGGGAAGAAGAGTCCTTACTCACGCCTTCCAGGATTGCCTCGAGATTCCCAAGAGCCCCGGGGAGAGGCGGCGCGCTCTGGGGCTGCGCAGAAACGGCCGCTCGCTTTCCTCCTCTTGCCCTCGCAGCCTGCAAACCCCCGGCGGGAACGCCGGCCCCTCGGGGCAGCCCGCGCTTTCCGCGGGCGGGGCAGGGCCGAGGGCTGCCGGCCGGGCTCGGAGGCTACCGGCCCGCCCCGCCCGCGCCCGCGTGACGTCACTCGGGAGTTCTGGCGACGTCACGCCCCTTCCTCCCGCCGGGGGCGGACGGCGCCCCTGTGACCTGGCGGAGGAACGGGGCGGACGAGGCTTCCCCCCGCGCGGGGTGGTCACCGGGCAGGGCGGCCGGCGCGGGGCTGTGGAGCTGCCCCGGAGAGCGGCCGGGGGTGCTGTGTGCGAGCTTCGGGGGCGGGGCGCCGGGGGGAGGTCCCCGCGTGTGACTCCGCAGCTGGGCGGCGGGCGGTGCGCCTGGACGGCCGCGCGCGGACAGTGCGAACGCGCTGAGGGGCCGGCCGTCGGCGGCCTGACGTGGTGTCCGGCCTCGGAGCTGTTCCCTGCGGCTGAGGCGGCGGCCTGAGGGCGCGGGGAGGGGCGGCCGCACGCCCGGCGGCGCGCTCTTGGCTGGGGTTAAAGGGCAGGTTTCTGGCGAACCTGCAATGAGAAGCGATCAGAAGCGCCAGCATTACTGGTTGCAATAACACGCTGTTAGGTGATATTTTTTAAGTCAGCCTTTTCTGTGGCTGTTTCTTTCTAACATTCAGAGTGTTAGTACGTTTTCTTGTTTATCTTGATTTCCAAAGGAAGCGTTTTAGCATTATAAATTCTACAAATGAAGTTGAAGAAAAGAAACTGAATAGGCTAGAATCAGAATATATGCAGTGGGTTCCATGGTTCAGTACTTTTCTGTAACACTAATGAGACCTGAGAGGAAGGCAGACGATGAGATTATGAACTTTGAACAGTTAAGTAGTGTTCAGAAAATCGTAAATACAAAATGTAAAGGTAATTTCCCCCTCGTTTCCGATCCTGAGGGCTGAGTGGCCGCTTACCCTGTGATTGGACGGAACGGGCTGTTTCTGTGGGTTCTGGCCATGCCGCGGGGACGTCGGTGCCTGAAAGAAGAGGGCTGCGGGACCCATTACCCTGGGGTAGCTACTGTCGTTCACTTCCAAATTTGAGGAGATTTAATTCATAACCTTTTCAAAGAAAATGGGTGAAAAATTGACTATGCCGTTTTTAATACGACGTATGAGGCATAGTTGCTTGTATAAATGTTTAGAATAGAAATGGAGAGTTTCGTTATAAATGGCAAGAACCTGTAATCAGTTTGTCATTTAACAGAAAATTGAAAGAACAGCGTGCCTGCGGTGCAAAGGAAAACTAGCAGAACAGAATGACCTAACCTGTTCCTCTGCCTCCGCCAACGGCTGGGCTGTCCGATCCCTTTATGCAAGTCAGAATCCAAAGAATCAGCTTTGGCACCTTCTTCCGCCTTGGCCCCCACAGCCAGTCTATCGCCAAGTCCTGTCAGTTTTACTTGCCAAATATCTCCCAAATCCATCCCCTTCTCCCATCGCTACCACCATATTGCAAGATACCGTTGTCTCACCTGGTCTGCTTTCCATATGCAGCCACCCCACAGCTATGCCGCTTAAACCCCTTCAGCGGCTTACCGACTGTTTGAAGAAAGCCCCTTTGAACGACCTCTGCTACCTTTCCAGGTTCCTTTCCAAAGGTCTTCTGCCCTCTGGCCTCACTGGCATATCAGTGTCTCCTTGGCCTTTAGATGCTGTTGCCTCTGGCGCTCTCAACCAAACTTACGCCCCACTATTTGCCTAGCTGTTTACTGATCTTTTTATCTTGTTTTAATACTCTTCTATCAGATCCTCTTATAGCACTGTATGCCTTCCCGTCTTACACTATTACAGTTTTGATTATTTATTTAATTAATTTGGTCTTCCCAGTAGACTGTGTTTTTTGAGGTCAAAATCATGTTTTGTTTAACTTTTTATCTCCAGAAATTAACCCAGTGCCTGCCATAGAGTCAGTACTCTGTGGATAAATGAATGAATTGGGCATCCCTTGAGGAATTCCTATTTTTTATGTAAGTGGAGAAAATCTTTGAATCCATTCCAAATTCTTAGATTCTATTTATGAGATTTTATCATGGTCACTTTCACAGTGTTAATAATGGGCATACTCATAGATATTTGCCCACATTAAGGAGCTTTAAACCCCTTGTGGTGGAATGAATTATGGTGTCCCAAAGATTGGTGAGAAAAGAGAAGCAGCTATTTTGAACTCTTCATAATACTCGGTTTCTCCTATTTTATGGCTTAGAACAATGCTTCCCAAAGTTCAATACTTAGAAAATGAATACTCATATTACATATTGTGATAAAAAGATGAGGCTGCTTCCATCCAGAGGCAACAGAAGTTGACTCCAACCACCCCATGCCCAGCGCTGCCACCTTGAGGGCTGGAATTTGGATGTTGCAGCATACCTATAACCCGCTGGAGGCCCCTGGTTAGGATGCTCAATTTAAAAATTGTGTGGTGAAATGGTTAAAGTGGTAAATTTTACATTATGGACTTCTAACCACAGTAAGAAAATTGTGAGGTAGCCGTAAAAACTCTATGATTCTTAGAACTGTAGAATTTTGGAACTATGTAGATTTTAAAATCATCTAACTCAAGTCATTTTGCAACTGAAACTCTTTGTTGATTCTGCAGTCTGCTTAACTTCTACAGCCAGATAGCTGAGGGTTGTGAAGAGAATAATCACATAACAGGTTAGACTGATACTACTAAAATTACATGAGTTCACACCTCATGTAGGGCATTGATTAATCCTTAAAATAGCCTTTGCTCAGCTCCTTCTGTTTCCTTTGCTGTCTTCTAAACCTTCACTGTTTTCCTCAAGCTTCCATATAGTATTCTTACTCTCAGCAGACACCCCAGCCTCCTGGTTAAACAAGACAATTGGGCTCAACAGGTGTGATCTTCCTGAACTTCCCTTTTCCTTTCTCAACCCTGTGAATGAGGCAATACCATTTTGCAGGTAAAAAGGCAACCCGACTCCAGTTGCTTCTTACCACCTCTTGTGCATCCATACTGGGCCAAGCCATCGTCATCTCAAATCTCTTCTGCAGCAATAGCCTCCGTTTTTGTTTTTTTAAAAAATAATCTTTCTACTTCTGCTCTTTTCCCCTTACAGTGTATTCTCCAAAAGCAGCCAAAGTGATCCTTTAAAACCTAAATCAGAACATGATGTTCCCCTGCTCAAAACGTTCCAGGGTCTTCCCATCACCTAATAGAATAAAATCAAACTCCTTTCCTTGGAGTCAGGACAAGTCAGCCACTGTATTCTACTGATGTTACTTCCTAAGCTAGGTTTTGAATCAGAGCTTTTCTTTCCATCCTCCCTCTTATTGCCCTAGTTTAAGCCCTGATATTTCTTACCTAGACTCCAGCCTCCTTGCTTCCTGTCTTGCTCACTGTAATACAGTTGCCGCACAGCTGCCAGAGTTCTAAACCATTACTTCTGATCCTGACACACCCTTGCTTAAAACTCTTCTGTGGCTCTCCATTGCCTGAAGGTTAAAATTCAGTCCCTTTAAAGTGTCACTGAAGCCCTTCTTAGCCTTGCACACTCTCAACCCTCCACCTCACCCTTTCCCTCTAAAACAGGATTTTGTTCCTCCCTCCTCCCCTTTGCTATTTCTTTGTATTGGCTCATTCAGTTCTCTTCTCTTGGAATTACCTCCACCCAGATCCTTTATATTTCACCTTTTTGCTTATCCTTTAAGACTCAGCTGAGGTAGTGCTGCTTCCAGGAGACTGACCTAACAGTCTCTCTTCACCCCTCCTTCCTACCCTCTTCCGCAAATAGCACTCCCCATTCTCCCATACCCGTTTATATGTATCTTTATCACTGCATTTAACACCATTATATTGTAATTATTTTTATATCTTTTATCTTCCTGAACTAGGCTGTGGGGGCTTCCTTGAAAGCAGAGATTGTGCTGTCTTTATTCTTCCCAGTATTTCAAGTTCTTACTACAGAGTCTTAGCACAGCAGTATCCAATAAAGCCACATATATAATTTAAAATTTTCTAGTAGCCACATTAAAAAAGTAAAAAGAGGGGCTGGCCCCGTGGCCGAGTGGTTAAGTTCGCGCGCTCCGCTGCAGGCGACCCAGTGTTTCGTTGGTTCGAATCCTGGGCGCGGACATGGCACTGCTCATCAGACCACGCTGAGGCAGCGTCCCACATACCACAACTAGAAGGACCCACAACAAAGAATATACAACTATGTACTGGTGGCTTTGGGGAGAAAAAAGGAAATAAAATAAAATCTTAAAAAAAAAAAAGTAAAAAGAAACAGGTGAAATAAATTTAATACATTTTATTTAACCCAATTTATATAAAATATTATCATTTCAACATGTAATCAATATAAAAATTTACTAATGAGACTTCTTACTGTTCTTTTTCTTCATACTGAGTCTTCAAAATCTGATGTGTATTTTACCTTTACAGCATATCTCAAAATTTGGATTAACTCCATTTTAGGTGCTCAAAGCCACATGTGGCTAGTGGCTACTGTATTGGACAGCACAGGCCTAGCATATATAATGAACAATGAGTGTTGAATGAACAAATGAGGTTACATGATTTACCTGAAGAACCAGGATGGAGCTGGGACTAGGACACGGAAATCTGATTCCTCATCTAAGGCTATTTCTGCTTTGTGCTGTGCATTTCCCACCTCTCTCCCACTCCCCACATCAACCCATTGCCCTCCCCACCAGACTGAGGGCCTCTATCCCCAGGCAAAAATTTAAAAGTAAATGATTAGGCTCATTATGATTATTTACACAGTATTATCCGGCACCTCTAATATTAACACACAATACTAGTAAACTGGCATGAGCTGTATACTTACAGTCAGAACTATTTTAAGAATAAGACAAAAGGCTGTTTGAGAGATAAGAGGGAGGAGAAACTTTAACACAAAAGAAAATTGTGTCAACTGTCAACATTTATGTCAACTTGAACACTTGATTTAATTTTTTAAGTTGTTTACAGTAATTAGTAAGTGTTGTTTGGGGGCAGGAATATACATCAGTTAGTGATCTTGCCCCAAGTGCCAAAATGTTTTGTTTATGGTATGAGTTGATGATGCCAAGATTCCAGTTATGTTGAGCAGTTTTATAATTGCTTTAAAAGATATATTTAATATTCATGGAGGGTGTCATATCAGTTTTTATTTTGACAGTCTTAGGTGGTCATTAAAGTGCTTATAACAGACATTAAAGATTATGCATTGTTTTTCAATTAGAAAAATTAGCCTCGTATAGTCTGGCCAACTTCCAATTTAGATAAAGAAGCTTTATTTTAATTTTTACTATGGCTGCATATACCTTCTTCATTTCCCTTTATAAACTATTAAAGTAGTTTTTTGTTTGTGTGTTTAAATATCATTCACTTAGCTACTTCATTTCACGTCAGTAATGGGCAAAGTTTTATTAGATATATAATTTGCCCAATTTAGGAACTCTCTGTTTATGCTTGATAAAGATTCCTATCTAGTTACCATATACTTGCCTAGTTGACTAGGTTTAAATGATGGTGGGCTGATCAAGAATGTTAATAATCTGTTATTGCAAAATGATTTATTATTGATGGAAAGGGGCATCTTTTTCTTCCAGGTCAATCATTTATAGTACATTGGCTGCTTAGGCAGTATTTCTTACCTATGCACATAGGTTTATGAAGGAATTTTGCTAGATAGTTAGGGCCTTATGCCTTGTCTTTTACTGGCGTTTATAAGAACCTCTCAGCTTAACTGCTGTAGAGATGATAAAAGAATTTAAGAGTGATCACTAAGACTGTAGAGTAGAAAAGTGGATTTTGTTTTGGGAGTCTTGAAAAACTAATCTTTACCTTTTTATCCAGTAAATATAGTATATACTTCATTGTCCTATGTACGTATGTATAGTGCCACCATGATGGAAGCTGTGGGAACAATATTTATTTACAGTAATGTAAATGGAAAATATTATGAAGGGTTAATTGTAGGAACAAGTCACTGACGCTTGGATTCTATTAACTGAAGCATTGGTGACAATTTGTTTTTGTGAACTATTTAGGATACTAAAACTGACACAGATAGACTTCCTCTTCTCAAATCTAGTACACTTCTTGTATAAAGTGACCCTATGCCCTGGCCTACCAGCAACAGTTCTGGTTAACATCTATTATTCTGGCTTAATTATTAATAGTGCTCCTATTTCCTCTCAAAAATGTCCTGATTTGGATGATAAAATCATATAGTCAGAGGCTTTAAGGAATTTGAAATGTAAACTAATAAGAAAGGATGTGGTGTAGGTCCGCACCCTGGAACCAAACCTGGGCCACCAAAGTGGAACATGCCGAATGCCAAACTTAACCACTAGGCCACAGGGCCAGCTCCAAAAAGGGAAGATTTCAATGACCTTTTGTACTCAGGAATATTTCCTCCTCAGCTATGTACAGCCCTATCTAAACTATTTTTAAAGAATATTGTGGTATAGATAAGTCATAAAAGAACTGCATTTTTTGGTAAATTGTTCTCTAAAATTCCTATGAGTCGAGAACTGATTTAATATTAATAGAAAATGGATTCAAGAACAATTAGCAATGGTAAGATACAAAGTACTTTTCCTTCTTTGGATGTAAGTATTCTCTATTTCAACGTAGAAGTAACTGTCATGAAGGTATAACAGGTACACTTTTCATCTTTTCACAGAGGGTAAGAAATTAGGTGGTCTGACTCGCATTATATGTACAAACTAGTAGGTAAGTTGACCGAAGACTCCAAACTTGGTCTCCTGGTTATAAATCCTATATCTATGCTCTTTTCAGTACACCATGCTATTTTATAACATGCTATTTTTGAATAATAGACTATATAAAACTTATTCTATGCTTTATTTTTAATTTAAAAAATGTTTTTGATAAAATAACCAAAGTTTCTGAATTTTGATAAAAAGTTATTACCTAAAGGCGAATTTGTAGTCCCAGTACATTTTCCTATTTACTTCAGAAAGCTTTACATTATATGAGGTTACTAAAAGGACTTTTAAATTTGGCAGCGATTTAAGTCTCACAATTGAGAAGAGGAAAATAAACTGGGCTCCCTCTGTCAGCGTTGGAGTGAAGTGCCTATTATATGGACCAGTCTCAGTTCATTTTTTCAACCTTTTTGCATTAATAATTGTATTTCTTAGTTATTATGGCACATATGCTCTTTTACTTGCCTTACAATAGGTGTAGACATTTGAGAGATGAATATAAATTAACTTCTAATGGAGCTAGCAAAAGTGTTATACTTGTTTTCTCAGAATGGTAGATTCTTAATGTAAGTTTAAAACTAAATATATTGAAGGGCCTTGCATTATATTGTAATCTCAGAAAGGACCAGAGAAGGTAGTGCTCCAAAAGATTGTGGCCATCTTATATAATCATTGATGGCATATAGCCATATTCCCAGCCTGTGGTACTACGCAGGTCTTAAACTGGGAGCCAGGGCCAGGGTTTAAGCTCTGGCCCTGTCTCTGATTATCTGCATGATTCCTAGACAAGTCTTATTTTCCCAACTGAAAAATGAGAATACTCATACTTACTGTGCCCAGGGTTGCTGTCAGAATGAAATAATATATGTGAAATTTTTTGAAGAAGACTTCATAGAAGTTTGAAGCAGCTTGCCTATTGGGAGCAAAAAAGTAGAAGCCTTTCCAGGCATGTGCAAAGGTTCTGCTGGGGGGAATCACTGTGAATTCTGGACACCGTAGGTATATAGTAATGTATCTGTATAGGTTGATAGTGGGAAATCAGTAGCAGCTCTACCTAATTTGTTAAATGAATTCTAATTTTTAATTATAATCCTGTTGAGTAAGTAATTCAACTTCTTTGTGCCTCAGTTGTTTATCAGTGATATGAAGATAATAATATATACCTTGGGTATTTCACACGATTGTTGATAGGACTGAATGATTAGATATATATTCAAATAGTATAAGAAACTTGTTAATAGTAAATAGATTTAAGAGCTACAGCTAATCAGAGAGATCTCTTCAATTGCTAAAGTTAATAATTGTAATGAAATTGTTGAATTGCTAATTGTTGAATTGAGATTTATAATTATAGAAGGGATTAAATTACAATTTGTTAAGTTCTTTTACGTATCTTATTTGATTGACATAAATTTAAAATGTCAGGTAATAGCATTATATTGTTGTTATTTCTGTAACATTCCAAGGGGCTTTACAAATCCTCTAGCCCAACTACAGAATTGTATAGAAAGAACAAACTTATTTTTTCATTTATTTTAGAAATTGGTGGTTGTAAGAAATTTATTTAACAGAGATTTATGATCTACTCAGCTTCAAGTCCAAGAAAGGGAGTGTTGGTATCAAGTTGATTGTGATCTGCACTAGTTTAGTGAAGATCTGAGTATATTTGATAACTCCTTTTGAAAATAGGATCTATTATTATTGGGCTTTGTTCAGCAGTGTGTGTCCCCACTTTTTTTTATTTTTAAGCCCTCTTTAATCCAATTTCCCTATTTCATCCTTATCAATTCATTAGCTAATTTAACCTCCTTCTAAGAGTTGCTTTTTAAACTCAGATAATTATTCTAATATAATTCAAGTTAAATGAAAAGATGATATATTTTTAATCAGATTTTGTAATTTGTACCTATTTTTTCCTTGTTTTCTCTAAACTAAGTTTCTATCATTATGCAAACAAATATGATATTTACTTAATTAAAGCACAGAAGTGGCTATTCTATTTTTAATCTACTTGACTAGAGCCTCCATCTAACATATTCTTCAGAGCTGCTCCAGGATCACATTATATGTTATAATGAATTAGTTCTTGTAACTAGACCCCCTTGGACACAGTCCAAGACAAACTTGTACTATTCAAAATTCTGTGTTTCACTATAGTGAGAAGTGTTACTTGAGGGTTCAAAGTATTCAGTCTCTTTTTACTATAATTTTACCAATGTAAACTTGAACAATAAAGTCTTTGGATCAGTGCTGTAAATAAAAGTATTTACAGAATACACACTAACTGTTCATTTTGCTGCTGTTTGGCCCTTTAAAAATTGGCAACCAAATTCAGGAAATGAAATGTAGTTTATTAGAAAATACCTTTCTCACAGAAGATCAAGTGTCAGTGCCTCTCAGGTTTTGTGGGAATGGATCAAATACATCAGACAAAAATAGGCTAAAGTTCCTCACTTTCTGTTTGAAATTGCTGTACTCATTTCTCAGAAAATCCATTTTAGTTGTATAATATATTACTTAAAATTATGTTGGTAAACTAAGGAAAAAGCAGTTTCACCATGTTTGTCCTCTAATAGTGATCTACTGGATACCTCTTGGGCCCCGCTTGCTCCAGCCTTTGCAGTGACAGCCAGATTCATGCAGGTGAAACCTGACAGCCCCTCACTTGACTTTCTGACCTGGGAGCTTCTCTACAACCTTTGGAAACAGGAGCACAACCTGAAAGTGTGAGGAAATTCACAACCTATGAGGCAACCCGTAAATGACGAAAGGCAGAACTGGTGAATGAGTGCTCCTCTCACATCTCGCAGGCAATTCTGAAGGAGCTTGCTGACTCCTAAGAAGATACTGGGATTGAGCCGACTTTGCCCATAGTGGGGGATGAGCTCCAGGATGCACTCTTGTATTGGCTTTCCCTCCCTTTCCATTTTCTTCTCCTAATTCCCCACTCCTGTTCCTAGGATGAATTCCCAAATAAAGAACTTACGCATAATCTGGAGGACACAGGCTCTACTTTCCACAGAGAACCCAACTTAAGAGATAAAGGTTAAACGTAAGATTTTCATTTCACTATTTTAAAGTTATTAATGGAAAATTTAACTTTTGAAGGTTGGCATTCATGGATGGGACAGTCAAATTAATTGTATGCAGTAATTTGTAAGGATGTTAATGCTGACCCAAGATTGGTTGAACCATGTGCATTTGAGGCTATTTTTTGATAGTGATAATGGTTCTCTTATAAGCAAGAGAAGCTTTTCTTGCTGCTTCTCAAACTTTATTAGACATTAGAATAATCTAGAAAATATATAAATATGTAGATTCATAGTATCTACCCACTAGAGATTCTAACGTGGTATGTCTAGAATGGAGGTCAGCAATATGCATTTTTGGTAGGCATACCCCAGGTGAATGAGATGGTCCACAGACCACACTTCGAGAAACATTGCTGCTTTATTACAGTGGTAATACTGCTGGGTATAACCCGTGACTACAAAATAAATTAAAGCTAACTGACTCCACAGGAACTGAATTAGTATCATGGCACCATTAATCACATGTTCTAATAAACTAAGTGAACAAACCACAGCCAGGGAATTCAGATTAAAAAGATATCCCAATTTTAATTTCAGCATCACCGTGCTCTTCTTTTCTAGAAATTTGATTTGATAGTGCTTACTTGGCTTTAACATTAGTATTAACATGTGGTTTGTTAATGGTAACAAGGAACTGCTAAGAATTTAATTTATGCTAGACATGTTTAATTTATACTTACTGGTAGAACTAGAACAACATGTCATTCATCTCAAAGAAGTAAACACATCTTAACAAGTAAAACTGTGGGAAAAAAGACTGGTATTGTCATGCTGGAATGGACTGAACAACTTTTCTTGCTGAATGGCGTATAGCCAGGCTCCAGTGTAACCCAGTTCCAGTGGCCTGTAGCCACGTTCCAGTGGTTAGTTCTATATTATAGTTAAAAAACAGTATGCTTGTTCCTGAGCAACATGTATTTGTTTTAAATTTTGTTGTACAATAGCTTGGAAAGTGACTAGAGTGGCATTTAACAGCTCACTAAAATGCTATGTAGATGGTATTTACCATTCAGTTCTTATTATATTATTGAATATTGATTACAATATTAATATTTTCAGAAATGTGAATGATCCTTCCATCTCAGACTGTATTTCATCTACTTTCAGTTAGTAGACCCCTGCCCTCCAAATTTAGACCTGTATACGTTGTGTAATTTTTTTATAGAAGACCTCAACACAGAATTCTATAGTATTTCTCCACGTCCGTAAATATTGTACTGCAAGCTATGTAAAGTTATCAATCTGTATTTCTTAATGTTTCAAGATAAATTCAGAAATTCATTAGATTTAAAATGTTTTAGGGGCCAGCCCAAGTGGCATAGTGGTTAAGTTTGCGCATGCCCTGGGGTTCACAGGTTCACATCCCGGGCGCAGACCTAGCACTGCTTGTCAAGCCATGCTGTGGCAGCATCCACATAAAATAGAGAAAGGCACAGATGTTAGCTCAGCAACAGTCTTCCTCAAGCACAAAGAAGAAGATTGGCAACAGACGTTAGCTCAGGGCCAATCTTCCTCACCAAAATAAAAATAAATAAATAAAACATTTTCCTCTTGGAAGGAAGTGTTTCTCGTTCCTAATCCAAATCATTGCAAAAATGATAGGCAAAGAACCTTTAAGGGAGGGGCTGGCCCGGTGGCGCAGCAGTTAAGTGCCCACGTTCCGCTTCTTGGCAGCCCCGGGTTCGCTGGTTCAGACCTCAAGTGCGGACATGGCACCACTTGGGAAAAGCCATGCTGCGGTAGGCATCCCACATATAAAGTAGAGGAATATGAGCATGGATGTTAGCTCAGGGCAAGTCTTCCTCAGCAAAAAGAGGAGGATTGGCAGTAGTTAGCTCAGGGCTAATCTTCCTCAAAAAAAAAAAGAACCTTTAAGGGAATAAACTTAAAATAGAACTTTGAAACTAAAAATTTGTTATGCAAGTTACATTTTCACTTTGTCGGTAATATGTAACTTCTAAGATAATAGTGTTCTGATTACTTTCAAGGTTATATGTCTTTAACACGATGAGCTATAACATTTTCTATTTCCCGGTTAGTTTTTGAAGCATAGCAAGTTTGGTTGTTGGTCCTGAATTATCCAAATTATCTATTTATATAGAAATGTTTTAAAAATATATTTTAAATTTATGTTACTCTCTGCCTTCTTTTCAGTTGTTTATTGTAATATCTACTCTAAATGTATGAAAATAAATGCAAATTAAATACTAATTTAATGACTAGTCACATAAAGCTAAATTGCTTAAGTATCTAATAAAATAGTTTTAATAAGAATAATTAATAGGCTAAATTGGTGAAGTGGTATTTTGTCTTTAGGTATGCCATTTACATACAAGCTTTTCACTTTGAGAAAAACAAAATTCGTTTACTGTGAATATACATTTCAAATTACAGTATCAGCATAAAGCTTATTTGTATAGATAGCAGTTAAACATCTTTTAGGAAGTTAAAGTTGATTGCAAGAGCTCAGTAAGATCAGTTTGTGTTATAAGTGGATCTATTTTTTGGTTCTAATATCAGGTTATAAACTATTTCCTGTTCTTAATTCACACATTGGAAGATGTGTCAACTGACCCAACTTTAGTTAGGCAAGCTCTTAGAATGTTTTGTCACATTATTCTGAACTACCTCCTGACCAATGGCATACATTTCATAAATATCTCACTTGTGAACTTTGCTCATTGCCTCTGTCTCCTAATCAATTTATCAGTCTGAGCTAATTCAATATTATTTTTAGAAAATGCTAAATCCTATTCAATCTTACTTCTTACATTCAACACATTTTGGACTTACTCTCCTTGTCATTATTTACTATCAAGAGAGTGCAATATAATTTAATATTGACCTACAATAAATTTAATTTGGAAGAGAATATTTTGTAGGAAAAAACACATTCTAGAGCCCTGAAGAAGTAATTCAATTGGTAGTAGAAAGAGCACAATCCTTAGAGCATTGGCCAACTAATCTGATGTCATATGAAATAATAGATATAAAATGCCTTTGAAAACTCAGATATCAGGCACAGTAAGGTATAACTTGGCCTATCTATGTCGCAGTTCCTTCCTTTGGTATAGATGATTGAAATTTGAATTTTTTTAAACTGTTTAAACATTTTAATCACCTTGGTATATTGCTCTCAAAATACATTTAACAAAGCCTCCTTTGAAGTGATTCTTTAATTGAACTTGATTATATGGGTTTCTAATCTTTTTAATTTAATAAGGTTAAAATATTATCCAATATTAAATCTTAATGCTTTCCAAGTTACTGATTTAATTTTTATCTCTCTGACAAAAATAAAATGTATATTCTAAGTTAAGCTTTGACTTCTCTTACTCAAGCTATTTGTTGAAATTTATTACACATTCTAAAGGAGTGGGAAGTATATTGACATTTGCTGCACCTACTGTGTTCTAGGAACTGTGCTAGGTGTTTTACACACAATATGTCATTTAATCCTTCCAACAGCCCTTGGAGAATGATATTAGTTTCCTTAACTTACAGATGGAGAAAAGAGAACTCAGAGAATTAAGTAATTCCCAAAGTAAACTAGTTTGTAGCAGAGTCAGTATTCAAACCCATCTCAGTTTGGCTCAAAAGCCCATATGTTTTTCAATATACTACCTTTTCTCTTGATTGTAAAGATAAGAAAGTAATTATTTTCCAGAGTCCACATGGACTTAACTAAATTTACCAAATTTAGAAGCATCCCTCAGGTAGGCTTTTACCTGTGAAAAGATAAGGGGATTAGGAGAATTAACATTTAGTTCCAGGAATCTGAATTTAAATAGTCAAGCTTTTGGTTCTGAAGCTTTCTGTAGTGCCACTTCCTTGGAATTCCTGAAGGTAAAAACATTTAAAGCATTTTTTGAACACTTGTGTGCAAAGCATTGTATTAAGAGCTCACCACTTAAATAACAGGTTCTGTCACCTTTAAGATGGGTTTTAAATCCTGAAATTCTGTTCTCCATAACCTTATTGAAATTTTCCTGTCAGTTCTAACCAAATTTTAGAAGTACTAACTTCTCTGGCAAATCTTAAACTATATCCATATGAGTGACTAAAACAATACAAAAATACATACATACATACATACTAAGAAAATGAACAGTTGTGAGTTTAAAGCAATATTACATCAGAAAATGACAGCAGAGTCCACAGAAAATCTGGGAAAATATGAAGGAATGCAAAGTACTCTTATCAGTTTGATACAAAATTTCATGATGGCATTATGAGATTAGAGTTTGAGGGGGTAGTCACCTTCATTACCAATGGCAACCCATAAATTCAGCCACTCTGCCAAAAAAGTTTGGGGGCAATAATGGTATAGATTAAAATATAAAAGCAAATAATTTCTTAGTTCAGTAAAAACTTAACATAACTATACGACACAATTTTATCTTTTTACAAATCCTTTAGAAAACATAGATTTCATGTAGTATTCAGGAGAGTTGATGTAGGGTACTGAAAAAATATTAGCCTGAGTTTGTATTCAGGCAACTGGGATGTTCTGGTTCCAGCTCTACCATTGGATTGTAAAGTAGTGATATAACTACATTTTTGGGCTTTTCATTCAACTCAAACATGAGGAGTTGGATTCATAAGTTTTTATTCAAGAATCATTCTAGTTAAATATCACGATTCTAAGTGCTTTTGGTAGGAAATACATGAAGATATTCAGGAAGGAAAGAGGTTACAGTTGTTAAGAAAGCTAGCATTGTTGACAAAAAGAGTCATTGTGTGAAACTGTGGCTAGGAATAAAGACAGAGGAATGCATCCCCCACTAGACTTAAAGAATAAAAAGATTATTAAATGAGAAAACACCTTTTTACCTGGCCTCTGAGATAATATAGGGCTGTATATGCACACACACAGATTCACATGTACAAACACACTTGACTCCTAATTTGATTGAAATTCATATATCCTTAATTTTAATCTAAACATCACAAGGTATCAATATTATAAAGGAATCAATTTATGGAAAATGCATAAAGGTCATATTTAATAAGACTTCTATATATTTGAAACTGAAAATCCTACTAAATGAAAACTCTAGAATCTCTCTCCAAAATGTAGTTAGGCTTGAAATTTTACCCATAGATTTTATATGAAATATGTATCTAGTTCCTAAACAGCTTTCCTCAAAACCATAAACATAAAAAATGCTCAATAAATAAATTAGAATCCCAAATTAAGTTTATCTTTAAACAGTAAGCCCTGTATTTTAAACAGTATGGTTTAAATTTTCTAGATTACTGTATATAGTATATTTATCAGAAACACTAAAGTATATGCTATTGACATGTCTATATCTTGCCTGAAAACTAATTGAAAAGAGAAAAATTCAAACAACTAAAAATTTCAATCCATATTCCCCCAAAATTGTCAGAATACAGTTTATGCTGAATAAAATTAATTTTGATTTGCTGAATCAGCACATTTCTTTTGCAGATTCAACATTACACAGCTTTTTAGAAATTTAGCTAAATTATCAGAAGTTTTATGCAGAATTGCCTTGGAGTGGGACTAAAAGGTATCCAAAGGGTTTCCCTGCAAAAAATGAAATCTCGTCTGAACATTTTTTTTTTCATCAACATCCTAAAGAGACTTATAGACTTTGGGTCTGAGCATGGACTCTAGGGACAAGGAAAAGGATGCATCAATCTTGCTGTTCAAAGCAGTCATAGTAAGATGGCCTACAGGTAGTTCTGGGCAGGAAAACATTCAGTATAAATCTATTTAAAAAGGTATTTTAATTCCTAGGGAAATTCATATATCAGCTGTTATGCTAAACTGAATGCCCAGAAGATGTGTGCATTTACTTCAGTCTAATGTTAATAACTAAGGGGGTAGTTTGGTATGCCAAAATAAATCTACAGGGATTGGTAACTTTCATTTTAAATGACACAAGCTACTAAAATAAATTAATTAGATCAAAGAAAGAGAGAAGAAAAAGAATTATTTTAAAATATAATATAAATGAAAAGAAAATCCAAATATTCTTTAACCTAAAAAGTTTTTCAGACCTAATAGGCATGACAAAACCTGTCTTCATTCCTTTCTATTCAGCTCAGCAAGTACTTTTGAGCTCCAATAGTTAATCAGTTACCAGATTCCACAATCTTTGTTTTTCACACTCCTCAATTCTTGCTGTGAATTGTTCCCCTAATGTACTTAGGATCACCAAGCAGGCCAAGACTACTTTTCTTTATGCCTTAAAAAGGCCATTATTATTTTATCCACAATTAGATTTACCATATAAAATTTTTGCTATATAACAACAGCCTGTAAAACATGATAGTATATTATCAAAGTAGATGGTTTAAGATGAATCATTAATAGGTGAAATATATTTAGCAAAACTATTCAACCCAGCTTCTTAATGACTATAACCAGGCCCACCTTACAATAAAATATAGCAAAAGTGTACTATATACCAAATAACCTTTATCGAAACAAATCAATGAACATATATGCAAGTATTATAAAACAATATCTAACCAGCTTTACATAAAAGGCATAATGTAAATATATGTCATGTTAAAAATAGATAACTTCTTAAACATCATTTCTTAATTGAACCTTCCAAAAGTGCATAAAAAATTGCGAAATACAAAAAAATGTATTAACTTACCCTTCAATTTATTTAGAAAACCTCTGCTGTTGGTCAAAAGCAGAAGTGTTTCACTGCTGACACTCCCTGAAGCTATACGCTTAAACGGTAAATCAGAGGAAGCCACCACTCTGGACAATGCTAGTTTGCTAGACGCTACTGCTGTGTGGAAGAGTTCTGTGGCATCTGAGCTATATACAGTGTGCAATGGATAACCTAATATGCCTTTCATTTAACTGGCTGGGCAGGTTTCTACCGTCTGTGGAACATGGAATCAAACCAGAATATGTTGGCATAACAGGCCAGTCAAACCGGTTCTTCTGTGGATCCAGAACCCGTCCAACCAGTCTGCATCAAAGGCTAGCCCAACAAGCTGCAGCGGCTCAGCTCTGCTAAGCTTGTACCGGGTGAGTTATCCCCACCTCTGTCAACTCCCAACAAACTGCTCAGAATGTTGTAGCCTCCAGCAAAATAATTCAGAGTTCTAGTGGGAGGGGTAGAGCTGTGTCAGGTATAGCAAGAGTCCATTGTTATAAACCTCTCATTGTATATATTTGAGGATCTATCATCCTCAGAGGTAGGTAATCCTTTTTAAAAGGTACTCCAAGGCTCTCTGCAGACTAAAGCCTCTAGAAAGAGAGTATCTACAATAAAGAAGAATCCATATGCCTGCCCTTTTCCCCTAGTCCACTTGTCTCTGCTTGGCCTAGCTTAGCCTTGTGGAGGAGCTTGATATTCCCCACAAGGGTAGTGGCCCTGAGAGCTAGAAGGAAGCATTTCTAGAGGGAGGAAAACAAGGTATAAGTTGATCAGACATTTGCCTGTGTGTGTTACCTTCCTTGTACTCAAATGATCCTCGTACCATTCCAGCCAAAAATTGGAAAAACTCCTATTTCTATATACTAGGACAGCTAGGAGAGGTTTTGCTTTGGATATTCAACTGTTGAACACAAATTATTGATATCTACTGTGTGCCAGCAACTATGCCAAGTACAGGGTTACAACGGTGAAAAAGACAAGTTTAGTAAGAGATGGGAGCCATGTCCAAGTTCCCAGTTACGCATATCTAGTCATCTTTTGGAAGGAAGAAGTGAGCGACACAAGATCACATTTTGACAGAAATTGGTTTGTATTAAGGGAGACCATGTGAGATTTGTTCTTACTCTCTCATAATACTTGCACATTTAGAAACAGTCTTTCCTATCTCCTAATGCAGTGATTCTCAAACGTTCCTGCTGAAGTATCGTCTGAAGTGCTGATTAAGAACACAGATTACTGGGGGCTGGCCTGCTGGCATAGTGGTTAAGTTCGCGCACTCCCTGGGGTTTGCAGGCCCAGATTCCAGGTACAGACTTATGCACTACTCATCAAGCCGTGCTGTGGTGGCATTCCACATACAAAATAGAGGAAGATGGGCACAGATGTTAGCTCAGGGCCAATCTTCCTCATAAAAACCAAAAAACCCCACAGATTGCTGGTCCTCCCCTCCAGAGATTCTGATTCAGTAGGTCTGGGATGTTACTCAAGTGCTTCTGGTGATTCTGCTACAATTGTTGCAGGGAGCCTAGGCCCAGCCTCCATGCTCAGCTACTTTTCTATTTTTGTAAGTAATTAAATAGAATACATATTAATCCAAAGTTGCCATATTCACTTTTGTATCTCCAATGTATAGGACACTGACACTTAGAAAGTATTTAATCAATGCTTATTAAGTAAATATCTACTCAGCTCCAGCACTTGCTAGATCCTAGTGAAATCACAAAAATCACAACTAGTAACTATTATGTGAATCAAACTGCATTAAATACTGTAATTATAATAATTTAGGTAAGAGCACAGAAAAAGGAGCAAATATGACTGAGTGTGGGAAAGACTTCACAAAGAAGATTAGTTTAGTGACTTTTCTTTTTCAGCCATGACCAAAGATTACTATCTGCAGGATAACAAAAGGTTGAGGGAACAATACAAAGAATGCCTTTGATTTGATACAGTAATGAAAGTTTTAAGTACCGAGGGTACTCTAACATCAAATCTTAGTAATAAGGCTGTTTCCTAGAGCAGAGGTCAACAAATTTTTCCACAAAAGTTCAGAGAGTAAATATTTTAGGGTCTATGGGCCAGATTGTCTCTGTTTCAACTATTCAACTCTAACGCGTAGCACAAAAGCAGATATAAACAATAGTCAATAAATGGGTGTGGCTATGTTCCAATAAAATCTTATAAAACAGGTGACAGGCTGGATTCAACCAGTGGGCCGTAGTTTGCTGACCCCTGCTCTAGAGTGAAACTTGTGAAAATTAACAAAATTGCATAACTGTTTAGGAAACCAGTCTTGGGAGTCAGAAAGACTTGGGTTCCTTCCCATTTCTGTTCCATATTAGCTTTGTCACCTGAGTCAAGCATTTGTTTTATTTATAAAATGTGGATGAAAGTAATAGTTCCTACCCCTTAGAGTCAGTGTAAGATTCAAATAATATAATTCATGTGAGGCTTTATCCAAAAATCTAGTACGCAATAAGGGCCCAATAAAATGTCAGCTAAAAAATAAAACATTTAAACATGGTAGTTGAACATGAGTATTTATTTCCATTATTTCTTAAAGTCCCACTAAAATGACAATAAAGAACCAAAACAGCATGAAATCTTAAGGCTCAAAAAGAATGAGAGGAAGCAGACAAGAGATGTCTGTAAATTTTGGAAGAAGGAACGAGGATGAGAGGTGTCTGATTTAGCAGAGCATGGAAAGAGGAAATGTACTTGCAATAATCAAAGCAAGTCTATCTCTGCTGCGGAATCCTATAAAACTTCAGGAATTGAAGGCACAAGGTGCCTCTATATAGACTTGAGGAGTTGGGAGGGAGTCTTGAAATGGGAGGATTGGTTGAAAATCTGCTTAAAAAGCAGTTTGCTCACTAGATCCATTCCGCAACCCGGAGACCTGGAGACGGGCCCCTTCTGCAATGTTGGCAGACAATAGGCAGGACTTGTTGATTCGTGCTGGGAGAGATTGTCCCAGGATGTTCTGGACTTGAGAATACCAGGCAGGACTGAGGGTGAACGGTCAAGTTCCACACTGAAAGCAATGAGATTATATTAGTTTCCTATGGCTGCTGTAACAAATTACCACAAACTTAGTGGTTTAAAAGGACACAAATTTATTATCTTACAGTTCTGGAGATCAGTAGTCCAAAATGGGCCTCACTGGGTTAAAGTCAGGGTCTCAGCAGGGTTGAACTCCTTCTGGAGGTTCTAGACGAGAATCTGTTTTCTTGTCTTTTCCGGCTTCTAGAGGCTGCCTGCATTTCTTGGCTCATGGCCCCTTTCCATCTTCAAAGCCAGTAATGGCCAGTTAAGTCTTTCTCATGTTGCATCATTTTGACACTGAGTCTGCTGCCTTCCTCCTCCATATTTAAATCCAACTATACAATCCAGGATAATCTCCCCATTTAAAGTCAGCCGATTATCAACCTTAATTCCATCTCAAACTTTATTCCCCTCTGCCACCTTAATTCTCCTCTGCCATGTAACATAACGTATTCGAAGACTTCTGGGATTAGGATGTGGACATCTTTGAGAGACCATTATTCCACAGAGGTTAAGACAAAATCTCTATATTGAATGGAGAGATGCCCAGGTCCATTCCTCTGCTTCGCTTCTGAATGCTGGTAACCAGGTTCATACTCTTCACTCAGAAAGCAGGAAACTGGAGAGTTTCTCTGCAAGAAACTCTCAAAACTCTCATCATCCTAGTGCAGTGGTTAGTAACAGGGATGATTTTGGCCCTAGGGACCATTTGACAATGTCTGGAGAAATTTTCGATTGTAAACAACTGAGAGAGGTAGGGGAAGGGTGTGCTACTGGCCTCTAGTAGCTAGAGGCCAGGGATGCTACTGATCATTCTACAATGCATAGGACAGCATATCCTACTCCCCTCCCTGCCCCCCAAAATAATTATCCTATCTTAAACGTCAATAGTGCCAAAGATGGGAAACCCTACTCTAATGTTAAGCATACCAGTCAACATCATCCTAATATAAATAAACAAATTCCTCCTAGGAAGGCAGAGTTGCATATCAGCATTTTTATGTCTTATTCTAAGGTATAGAGAGATCTAACATGAAAGAGACAAAAAAGAAACCAAAAGATAAAAAGAACTTACAGAAAATAGTCAATATAGGGAGCAGAATAATAATTTAAAAAACCCCATTATATTAATATCTTCAAAGAAATAAGAAAAGATACTAATTGCATAAAACAAGAACAGAAGGCTATCTAAAAATGGAACTTTTGGAGAATGAAAAAGATATTAGAGGGGCTGGCCCCGTGGCCGAGTGGTTAAGTTCGCGCACTCCGCTGCAGGTGGCCCAGTGTTTCATTGGTTCGAATCCTGGGTGCGGACATGGCACTGCTCACCAAACCACGCTGAGGCAGCATCCCACATGCCACAACTAGAAGGACCCACAACGAAGAATATACAACTATGTACGGGGGGGCTTTGGGGAGAAAAAGGAAAAAAATAAAATCTTTAAAAAAAAAAGAAAAAGAAAGTAAAAACATGGTATCAGAAATAAAGTCAACAGGAATTGGAAGATAAAGTTCCACAGAAAATAAAATTAAGAAACTACTGAAGTATGTGCTACAAAATAAGAGTAAATTAAGAAAGATGAAAACATGTAATTCAGAATCCCACTTCTTTTTGCTTAAAGTTCAACATGGCCACTGGTCTCAAGATCACAGCACAATTTAGGGTGACCATATACCAGTAAGTCATTGAAGACTCTCTGATTTTTGCTTCAAATTCACATTGCCTATGACTGAGGGAAGGAAAGAGAGATAGAGAAGAGAAGAGAAGGAGAAGATGTGAATATGATTGGGTTTTGATATTAGATTTAAATTTAAAAGATTTTTTTAAATGCAGGTGTTCACTTCACCCTTCAACAAGGATTAATGTTCAAAGATCATAAAATGAGGAAGGCAATCAAACTGGTACAAGTACAAACTTGCACCTGCAGAAAAAGTTTGCACAAACATTTATATCTGCCAATATTCATAAGTAAGGGTTTGCAACATACTTTCTAATAGCTAGTAAAACCTGATCACTATGAAATTAAGAGCATGTTTTACCTGAATAAGCCCAAATCAGGAAACCTGAATTTGAGCTTACCTCTGTTACTCATAGGGTATGTAAACATGGGTTATTTATTTATTTAACATCCTGAGCCTCAGTTGCTTCATTTATTAAATGAGGGAGTTTGGTTGGATATATTCTAAATATCTATTCAGCTCAACACTTTTATTCTAAAGTTCCTTTGAGCATGTGAACAATTAAAAAAAAATGTGGGAGAAAAGCAAAATAAACCAATCAAGGAGACATTTTACAGAAGAGCAGTTTTAAAATGTGAGCTGATTTTAGGTTGTGTTCTCTAAAAGCTGACATTGAGATGTGGATTCAGGTGCAAGTGATTTATTAGAAATGTGCTCCACTATGAAACCAGTAAGGGAGGCAGGGAAGCAGGATCAGAAAGGAGAGTAAGAAAAGCAAGGGTATGATTTCAACATCAGCCTGGTCCAGGGGAGCTCCAGAGCATAAATTACAAAGAAAGAGTTTATCCCACCTGGAGGCAAAGGAATTAGACTTTCATACTCCTGAACCAGTGGCTGGCTACTGGCTACTCCAAGGATTTGTAAACTTCAGACATCTTCAGCTCTCCATGAGAAGTGGCTCTAGTAACTGAAGAGAATTCCTTTGAAGAAGGTTGCAGGTGCTATAACGTTAAGAGTGAAGCTGTAACCATCTACTTCTAGCCAAGATGGAGTTACAGGAATCAGATTTACCCTGCCACGTGACAAAACAATAACAAGGGCAAAATGTATAAAACAATTTTTTTAAGACATTGTACATCAGTCAACAAAGTACGGTTATCTCTAAGAAAGAGTAAATAAACAAGGTGACCCCTATAGTCACTCCAGCCTACTGCATGGAGAGAGTTTCCAGGCCATGGTGAAAAGAGGGACAAGACAGGTAGAGTTGAGTAGTCTCACAGAGATTGTCAGATTGGGTAAAAATGCAAAACTCAATGATATGCTGCCCCCAGTGAACACACTTTAGATATAAAGACCCAGATAAGTTAAAAGTAAAAGGATGGAAAAAGCTATACCATGCTAACACTAATCAAAAGACATCTGGAGTGGCTATATTAATATCACACAAAGTAGGTCAAGATCAGAGAATATTACTAAAGATAAAAAAGGTCATTTCAAAATGATAAAGAGTTTAATTCATCAAGGAAACCTAGTAATTCTACACATTTATGCATCTAAACATATAAATAAAAAATACGTGAAGCAAAAGCTGATAGAACTGAAAAGGGAACAGAACAAATCTATAGTTATATTTAACAATTGTATCTGGAGATTTCAACAACCTTTCCTCAATAATTGGTAGAATAAGTAAACAGGAAATCACTAAGAGCATAGAAGACAACACTATCAACCTACTTGATGTAATTGACATTTGGAGATCACTCAGCCTGAAAAAAAACTGAATGCACCTTCTCTTCAAGTGTACGTGGAACATTTACCACGTTAGATCATATTCTGGATCCTAAAACAAGTCTCAAATTTAAACAGATTCAAGTCATACAAAGTATGTTTTCTGACCACAATAGAATTAAATTAGAAGTTAATAAAAGAATGATGTGTGGAAAATCCCAAATATTTGTAAACTAAATAGCACAGTCCTAAATAACTCATGGATCAATGATGAAATAAAGGGAAATTAGGAAGTATTTTGAGATAAATGATAATGAAAACACAACATATTAAAATTTGTGAGGTGAATATGTAGTTAAATTCAGAATACTCTAATGTTGTAATAGTGACGGGTAAATCACTTATAAATTTAATAAGAAGGTTAAAAGACAAAAGTATTAAGGATAACTGTAACTATAATAATTTGTTAATGGATACACAAGGTAAAATGATGTAAATTGTGACATCAAAACCAAAATGTTGGGGCTGTCCCGGTGGCGCAGCGGTTAAGTGCACATGTTCTGCTTCAGTGGCCCGGGATTCTCCGGTTCAGATCCCGGTTGTGGACATGGCACCGCTTGGCAAGCCAGGCTGTGGTAGGCGTCCCACATATAAAGTAGAGGAAGATGGGCATGGATGTTAGCTCAGGGCCGGTCTTCCTCAGCAAAAAGAGGAGGATTGACAGCACTTAGCTCAGGGCTAATCTTCCTCAAAAAAAAAAAAAAAGAATACAATTCCATTTACAATTGCAACAAAAAGAATAAAGTATCTATGAGTAAATTTAACCATGGTGGTGAAGCACTTATACAATGAAAACTATAAGACATTATTGAAAGAAATAGGTGATGACATAAAGAGATGGAAAGAGATTCCATGCACATGGATTGGAAGAATAAACATAGTTGAAATGTCTACCCAGAGCAATCTACAGATGCAATGCAATCCCAATCAGAATCCCAATGACATTCTTCAAGGAAATACAACAAAGAATCGTAAAATTAATATGGGCAACCAAAGACCCAAAGAATTGCTAGAGCAATACTGAGAAAAATGAACAAAGCTGGAGGTATCACAATCCCTGACTTCAAAATGTACTACAAAGCTAAAGTAATCAAAACAGCATGGTACTGGTACAGAAACAGACACACAGATCAGTGGAACAGAACTGAAAGCCCAGAAATAAAACCACACATCTATGGACAGCTAATCTTTGACAAAGGTGCCAAGAATGTACAATGAAGAAAAGACAGTCTCTTCAATAAATGGTGTTGGGAAAACTGGACAGCCACATGCAAAAGAATGAAAGTAGAACATTATCTCATGCCGTACACAAAAATAAACTAAAAATGAATCAAAGACTTGAAGATAAGTCCTGAAACCATAAAACTCCTGGAAGATAATATAGGTAGTATTCTCTTTGACCTCAAACTTAAAAGGATCTTTTCGAATACCATGTCTTCTCAGACAATGGAAACAAAAGAAAAAATAAACAAGTGGGAGTTCATCAGACTAAAGAGCTGCTGCAAGACAAATGAAATTAGGATCAAAACAAAAAGACAACCCACCAACTAGGAGAAAATATTTGCAAATCATATATCCTACAAGGGCTTAATCTCCATAATATATAAGGAACTCACATAACTGAACAACAAAAAAACAAAAATCCTGATCAAAAAATGGAGAGAGGATATGAAGAGATATTTTTCCAAAGAAGATATACAGATGGCCAATAAACAAATGAAAAGAGTTCAACATCACTAAGCACCAGGGAAATGCAAATCAAAACCTCCTAAGATATCACCTTACACCTGTTAAAATGGCTATAATCACAAAGACAAATGTTGGAGAGGTTGTGGAGAAAAGGAAACCCTCATACACTGCTGGTGGGAATGCAAACTGGTGCAGCCACTATGGAAAACAGTATGGAGATTCCTCAAAAAACTAAAAATAGAAATACCATATGACCCAGCTATCCCTCTACTCAGTATCTACCCAAACAACTTGAAATCAGCAATCCAAAGTAACATATGGACCCTTATGTTCATTGCAGCACTGTTCACAATAGCCAAGACATAGAAACAATCCAAGTGCCCATTGACCAACAACTGGATAAGGAAGACGTGGTATATATATACAATGGAATACTACTCATCCATAAAAAAAGACAAAATCATTCCATTTGAAACAACACAGATGGACCTGGAAGGAATTATGCTAAGCAAAATAAGCCAGACAGAAAAAGACAAACACCATATGATTTTACTCATATGTGGAATATAAATAAACATACTGACAAAGAAAATAGTTCAGTGGTTACTAGGGGAAAGGGAGTAGGAGGTGGGCACAGTGGGTGAAAGGGAGTACTTCTGTGGTGACAGATAAGAACTAATGTACAATTGAAATTTCACAATGATGTAAACTATTATGAACTCAATAAAAAGAAAAGTTCAAAGTTAAAAAAAGAGACAAAGAATTTCACTATGTAATGATAAAGGGGTCAATTCATCAAGAGGATATAACAACTGTAAATATTTATGCACCCAACATTGGAGCACCTAAATACATAAAGCAAATATTAACAGATCTGAAGGGAGAAATAGAAAGCAATACTATAATAATAGGGGACTTCAGGTATAAATGGTCAGTTACCTTACAGCAAAGGAGCCAGGAATATACAATGAGGAAAGGACAGTCTCTTCAGTAAATGATATTGGGAAAACTGGACAGCCACATGCAAATGAATGAAACTGGACCACTGTCTTAGACTGCTTACAAAAATCAATTCAAGATGATCAAAGATTTAAATGTAAGACC